GTGAGCTACCACATCCGGCCAACAATAGCTATTAAATAAGGTGTCTTTAAACCGAAAGACACATACAAGGTTCTGTATTGCTGTGTTGATAAAACTGCTGTGACCAGAGGTTCACAGGAACCAAACCCAGTATCTCCCTTAGGAGCAGTGGTTTAGCTTTTGCTGATTCAGTTTTATAGAACATAACTAATTTTTTTTTTTTTTTTTTGAGACGCAGTCTCATTCTGTTGCTCAGGCTGGAGTGCAGTGGCGCAATCTTGGCTCACTGCAACCTCCGCCTCCCCAGTTCAAGCAATTCTCCTGCCTCAGCCTCCTGAGTAGCTGAGATTACAGGCTTGTGCCACCACGCCTGGATAATTTTTGTATTTTTAGTAGAGATGGGGTTTCATCATGTTGGCCAGGCTGGTCTCGAACTCCTGACCTCAAGTGATCTGCTCGCCTTGGCATCTAGAACATTACTACCTTGACTATTGAGAATCAACAGTCTATATGCATGTGTGTATTGATACGCACGTACATACACATGTATGCTTATATTTTTGTATCGGAAAATGTGATCTCTGCAACTAGCCTTGCTATTCCCTTCGTCCTCGAGATTCTCTCTTTGGGCTCAATGGTTAGGATCCTGGTTTTGCTTTATGGCTTCTGCTTGGGCTGTGCCATGGCTGCAGTTTGTGTTGGACAAGGCCTGGGTGGGGTGTGCTGGGAACGGAGGCAGGGACCAGCCCTGGAGCCAGCCATGAGTTGGGGACAAGACAGAAATCTCCAGGGAGGGAGCTGCTACTGGAGGCTCTGGTGACTTGACCAGTGGTGGGGTGGTGGCTCCAGCACTCTCCGTTAACCTGTTGGGGAGAGAAACCCAACAGGGTGGAGGAACCTGAAGCCCACAGGCCTTTGAGCCTCGTGAAGAGGCATTTGCCTGACCTACACCATCTATTTAAAATACTTTGAAATTTGTTGTTGGTATTTCAAAACTGGGCAGTTTCCCATACAAATCCATGTTTTAGGGTTTTCTTAGAACTGGGCAATCTATAAGCGCGGTCCCCTCTTAGGGGAGGCACCTGTACTCCTGCCTCCCCGGTCCCTGCTGGGGCCGCTCATTCACTCTTGCCATTGGCCTTGTCTCCATGGGGGTTTGAGATACAGGGGAGGGTTTTCAGATCTGTCTCCCTCAAGATTCTGCTCCTACCTTGTCACAGGTCATTCAGGAGGGACTTTGGGGGGTGCCACACCTGGTGCCATGCCTTGGGCCAGCGGCTGGGCTTGTGCTGGGGGATGGTGTGTGGGATCAGGGCTCAGGACCAGACACTGCCCAGGTCTGCCGTGAGGCCCCTGAACAGTGTCCCAGTCGGATGGGTGGGGCCCGGTGCTGCCCTCAGGTCTGGCCACTTTGTCCACAGCCCTGCAGAGCACGGCAGGAGCATGCCTCGGCCGAGAGCCTGATGGAGTGCATCCTGGAGAGCTTCGCCTTCCTCAATGCCGACTTCGCCCCAGATGAGCTATCCCTGTTTGGGGGCTCCCAGAGTCCCCGGTGAGTACACCTCCTTCCAGCAGTAACCCAGTGGCCAGCACTCCCACCGGGTGACCCAAGCTCCACATTTCCTGCTGGCCAACCGGTCTGTTTCTCCCACTCTCCTTGGCTCAGCTCTTGTCACTCTATCGTGCACCCCTCCCCACGCCATCCCCGCACATCCCCCACTTGGCTCAGAGCTGGTCCTCAGTGACCATGAAGTGGGTGAGATCATCCCAGCTTTGCCCTGAGCCTTCTGCTCCAAGGAATACGCTTTTATTATTATTTTTTAAACCTTAAAAAATAACCACCGAGTATATAGAAGTTCTTTGAGGCCAGGCACAGTGGCTCACACCTGTAATCCCAGCTCTTTGGGAGGCCGAGGCAGGCGGATCACCAGAGGTCAGGAGTTTGAGACCAGCCTGGCCAACATGGCGAAACCCCGTCTCTACTAAAAATACAAAAATTAGCCAGGCATGGTGGTGGGTGCCTGTAATCTCAGCTTCTTGGGAGGCTGAGGCAGAAGATCGCTTGAACCCGGGAGGCGGAGGTTGCAGTGAGCCGAGATCGCGCCACTGCACTCCAGCCTGGGCGAAAGTGAGACTGTCTCAAAAAAAAAAAAAAAAAAAAGCTCTTTGCCCTCTAACCAAGGTGCAGCAGTACCCAGTGCCATTCCCTCTGTCCCACCGCAGGGCCCACACCTCCCATGACAGCTTCCCTCGAGGCTACACAGCCTCACCTTCCCCACCCTCCAAGGGCTTCTGCATCCACATCTCACTACGTGGAAGAGCGGAGGCTAAATTCCTTCTCCTCGCCTCTCACAGTCCCATGGGCCAGTGTGGGATTTCGTGCCACACTCGCTTCCACCCTTCCTGAGTAGTCGTGAGTGGGTTGGGCAGCAGGTCCAGCCTCTACCACGGAGCGGACTTGGTGTGAGGTGCTCTTGCCCACCATATTTCATGCACCCCTCATGGCCTTGAGTGTGGGGCTCCTGCCTCCCTTGACAGATGAGTCAGCTGAGCCTGGGGGAGGCAGGCTTGTCCAGCGCCACAGAGCTGGGATTAGTTGGAATTGTCTTCTACCTCCACGAGACATCCTGGAAGACGACTTCCTGCCCTGCCTTCCCCAGGCCCTGGGCCACACCGTCCAGCTCTGTTTTGAGTTGCTGCCGCCCTTTGCTCCTTTCCCCTTCCTCCTCGGTTGAACTCCCTGGGACCTGGAGTGGGCCTCCCTGACCTGGGGCTCTCTGGGAAGGGAGGGTTCCCCCTACCCTCAGAAGGAGCTGAACTGCTAACCGAATGGTCACCCAGTTCTCAATTCAACTCAGAAAGGACCGGCCCCTGCCCCCACCATCATCACTGAAAACGTCATCCAGGGAACTCACAGCCGGTGCCCCGGAGCTGGACGTGCTGCTGATGGTACACCTCCAAGTCTGCAAAGCTCTGCTGCAGGTGGCTGGGCTAGGGGACTTGTCAGGGAGGGCAGACAGGGGTTTGGAGTCCTCTTGGCAAAGGGCTCATCTTGAAGGTAGTGGGAAGCATCGTAAGGGGTGACAGACCCGCATCCTGGAAGCCCGTGAGACTGAGGCTGTTCCCCAGTGGAAGAGGCAGACCAGGGTCTGGGTGAATACTCCTGTGGCTCTTATGCAGCCCAAGCCCTAAACCAAAGGCTGTGGTGGTGACTCTTTCATCTATAGATGCCAGAACCCTAATGCAAACTGGCTCAGCCAAGAGGAAAATGTATCGGCTCATGGCATTGAAAGCCTCAGAGGTAGGCTTCAGGCCTGGCTGGATGCACGGGTTCAAATGCTATCAGGACTAGGTCTCTCTCAGTTCTGCTTTGTAATGTGGGTTGGCTTCACTTTCAGGCAGGTTGGTCCTCCTTCTGGCGGCAAAGGTGGTCCCTGGCAGCCCAGCCTGCATCCCATTAGCTCAGCCACCTTGGTGAAAGGGGAATCCTCAGATGACAGTTAGGGAGCTGCCCCCAGGACAGAAGAGGTGGGCACAAGCAGGTGGGAGCCAGAGTCGTAACGGCTGCCCTCAGCGGGCATGTTCCATGCTAACCTGGAGCATTGTGGGCTGCTTCCCAGAAACTGGCCTCCCCTAATTTATCAAGGCTGGTCCAGGAATGCCTGCTGGAAGAAGTGGCACAGCAAAAGCATGTTCTGGAGACACTTTCTGTCCTTGACTTTGAGAAGGTCGGCAAGGCAATATCCATCGAAGAGAGTAAGTCGCTGCCTACCACCCAGGGGCTGCGTGTGTGAATGGCGCGCGGGGACGGGATCAAAGCTCGGGGAGCCTCTTCTCCCTTCCTAAGAGCCAAAGTTAACCAGGGCCCAGAGTGGAGGCTGTGGCTGGGCTGGGCTCAGAGATACACACTCTTTGTGGGGAGGTAAGGGAGGCAGGTCTTGGAGCTGCAGCATACTCTTCAGTCAGCTGTGTGACTCTATAGGCAAATGATTCACCTCTCTGAGCCTCTGCTTCCCTATCTGTATAGGAGGAGGGAACTGCATAGGATTCAGTGGGCTAACCCTAGGCTACATTCAAGGTGCAGAATGTGCCCTCAAAGAGTAGTTGTGATCCCGCTGTGCCTCTGCCCTGTGGGACCTCCCCTCTCAGAAGGCCAGGTTCCTTGTCCGTAAGGAGAGGCTGGTGACAGCAGCCCCTCCCAGGTTGTTGTGGGGACTGCAGGTGGTGGCCCTGGTAAGATGCTTAGAGCCAACGCTGCTCATGTGTCACATGGGAATGCAGGGAAGGGACCCCGCATCAAGCCACACCGTCCTCCCCACCCCCTCAGGTCCCAGTGGAGGGAAACCTTTGGGGTCCTTGTGACGTGCTCTCCCCGAGCCACCATTCAGCTTCTGAACTGGGGCTTTCAGTCATCCCACAGGCCTCGCGGAGGAAGGGGTGCCTGAAGCTGTGGAGAGGGTGCACAGGGCCTGGCAGAGTCCTGTCCTGCCCTGCCACGAAGCTGCTGAACCAGCTCAAGAAAGCCTTCCTGCACAGAGTCAGAGGGAAATACCCGGGACAGCTGGAAATAGGTGGGTTCCTTCCTGTCCTGTCGTCCCCTCCCACAGAAAGGCTGTATTGCGTCTCCAGGGCCTGCAGGGTGGCCACAGCTGGCCTCATTTCAGCCCTGTCTTCGCCTCTGAGTGTCTTCATGCCATCAGACGGAGGAGGTTTCTCAGCTTCAGTGCAAGTCGCTGCCCTTTCACTGGACGAGAAGGGGCCTCCACCTGGGGCCTTCTGAGCAGTCTGTGGAGCCCTGAAGCTGCGTGCAAACCCTAATGGGCCAGTGTATTTTTCTTTTCTTTTTTTTTTTTTTTTTGAGATGGAGTCTCACTCTGTGGCCCAGGCTGGAGTGCAGTGGCACAATCACGGCTCACTGCAACCTCACCTCCAGGGTTCAAGTGATTCTTCTGCCTCAGCCTCCTGAGTAGCTGGGATTACAGGTGTGCACCACCACGCTTGGCTAATTGTCTTTTTTTGTATTTTTAATAGAGACGGGGTTTCACCATATTGGCCAGGCTGGTCTTGAACTCCTGACTTTGTGATCCGCCCGCCTCAGCCTCCCAAAGTGCTGGGATTACAGGCATGAGCCACTGCGCCCGGCCGCTGGTGCATTTTTCTGGGGACAGATTCCATGCCTCCCACCAGAGCCTGACGGGGTAAAGAATGAACCTTACGGGAAGGGAGGCCTCTAGAAATGTGGGCTGGACTGCGTTCTTCCCAGAATGCAGAGTCATAGGGCCTTCTCTGGAGCAAGTGAAAGGCGACAGTCATGTTCCAAGCACCACCTGGGCTGCTGGTTGACATGCATATTCCTAGGCCCTGCCTCGGGATTTAGATCCAGGTGTGGTGTGGGGCTCTGGGCATGGGGATGAACCCAACACGGTCTGACTCAAGGTGCGTCGGAGTCACAGTCCTGACTCCAGCTGGGCACACTCCTCCCCCATGGCACACGGAGTACAGTGAAGGACACCTGCCCTTGTGCCATCAGAAACCCTTTTATTTTTTTGATATGGAATATGGAGTTTCACTCATGTTGCCCAGGCTGGAGTGCAGTGGTGCAATCTTGGCTCACTACAACCTCCACCTCCCGGGTTCAAGCGATTCTCCTGCCTCAGCCTCCAGAGTAGCTGTGATTACAGGCATGTGCCATCACACCCAGCTAATTTTGTATTTTCAGTAGAGACGGGGTTTCACCATGTTGGTCAGGCTGGTCTCGAACTCCTGACCTCAGATGATCCGCCCACCTCGGCCTCCCAAAGTGCTGGAGTTACAGGCGTGAGCCACTGTGCCCAGCCCAGAAAGCCTTTTAGCTGACCAGGCTACTCCCAGCTGAGAAGCGTGGAGGGTCGAGGTCTCAGTTTCTCCTGATGTGCTCTCCCCTTTGGCCAGTGTGCCGCAGGCTCCTGGAGCAGGTGGTCAGCTGTGGTGGGCTGCTCCCCGGAGCTGGGCTCCCCGAAGAACAGACCATCACCTGGTTCCAGTTTCACGGCTACCTGCAGAAGCAGAGTGTCTCCGACCTGGAGAAGCACTTCACCCAGCTCACCAAGGAAGGTAAGGCTGGGGTGGGTGGCTGTCATAGCAGAGGAATATCCACGGGGCCCTGTCACATGCAGTTTCTCAGGTTATAATTTGGAGCCACTACATCTATCCCCGCCAACTGTTCTTTTGGGAACCCCGATTTAATGAGATTCCGCATTCAGCCAATGGGGGCTGATATCAGCTCCAAGGGAAGTCAGCTTTAAAAAGCACGGAAGAGAGTTCAGAGCTGGGTAGGAGGGTGATCTTGGCTGGCCAGAGTCCCTGGAGTGTGGGCTGTGGTTTTATTAATTTTTGGAGCATATTTGATTCCGTGTTAAAAGGCCTTCCTGAAGATTCCAGGAGTTCCCTGGGAAACTAGTCCAGACTGGGCCTTGGTGATCATCCTGGTGGGTCTGGGATTTGTTCCTCTGTGGCTACTGGCAGCAGCCAAGCAAACTTGCAGCTGTCCTGCCAAACTCCCACTCAGGGGGCCCGGGCCCACCTCTTTTCTGTCTTCTAGTGACACTCATCGAGGAGCTTCACTGCGCAGGGCAGGCCAAGGCGGTCCGGAAGCTGCAGGGGAAGCGGCTGGCCCAGCTCCAGCCCCTGCCCCAGACTTTAAGAGCCTGGGCACTGCTCCAGCTGGACGGCACTCCGAGGGTGTCCAGGGTGGCCAGCGCTCGCCTGGCGGGTGCAGTCAGGAACAGAAGCTTCCGGGAAAAGGTACGTTGTCCAGGGCAGGTGGCAGCCCCTGGCCACAGATGTGTGGGCACAGGTAAGCAGGTGTTCTCATGGAAAAGTACAAAGAAGTGAGTGCCAGAGGCTGCAGTGGCTGTGAGCTATTTTGATGGAGGGACCTGGGCTGCCACCTAACACACATGAATGCACCTTGCTGCTGCCAAAGCCAAACATCTGAGATGTCACTTTGCACGCTGAATGGTTTTCTCAGTGGTTTATTTATTTATTTATTTATTTATTTGACAGAGTTCTGCTCTGTTGCCCAGGCTGGAGTATAGTGGCATGATCTTGCAACCTCCGCCTCCTGGATTCAAGCAATTCTCCTGCCTCAGCCTCCCGAGTAGCTGGGATTACAGGTGCCCATTACCATGCCAGGCTAATTTTTGTATTTTTGGTAGAGATGGGGTTTCATCATGTTGGCCAGGCTGGTCTCAAACTCCTGATCCTGTGATCCGCCCGCCTCGGTCTCCCAAAGTGCTGGGATTACAGGCGTGAGCCACTGTGCCCAGCCTTTCTTAGTGTTTTGATAGTCATCCTTATTTACTTTCAATTAATATTCGTGGCTACCTGGTAATGGGTCATTGTGTTCAGTCCATTTGAAAATCAAGAGAATGGACCTCTCTGCCTTTTCACTCTTGGCCTGTGACTACTGTATGTTTAAGCCGCGACACTCTGAGGGGTTCAGGAAGGGTGACATCAAGGGCATAGTCTACACTGCTGGTCTCAGCTCCAGACTGGAGAGGAAATCTCCAGTTCCGTTGCCAATAGCCCTTCTTGGAGCCCATCCGCCTACTTTGTGGTTGTTTTAAACTCTTTATTTGGAGACTTTTGAACTTGCAAAAGTAGGCAGAGCAATATAATGAATCCACCTGCACCCATAACCCAAGCCCAACCACCATCAACTCATGGCCTATCCTGCCCCTTCTCCCTCCACTTCCCTGTATCACTTTGAAGCAACCTGAGGCATCCTATTTGACCTTAGTTAACTAGATGTGTCAAAAGGTTAAGAATTCTTTCAAAAATCACAACTCTAATACCATTACCTTATCTAAAAAATTAACCATGAATTTCTTTGTATCATACATCTTATGTTCAAATTTCCAAGCCTCAAACATCCTGTTTTTTGCTAAACTAGGATCTACATAAGGACACACATTGTGATTGGCTGATGGTTTTCAATTTCCATTTAATCTAAAGGCTTTTTCTCCATTTCTTTTTCTGCTTGCAATTAACTTGACGGTCCCAGGTTGTTCTAGACTATCTAGACTTTGCTGCTTGCAGGAAGTTTAATGGTAGTTTAATATATTTCTCTGTTTTCTGTAGTTCCTGAAAACTAGTAGTTGGTTGGCTTCCAGGATCCATTGAAGTCAGGTGTATTTTGTTTTTTTGGGTTTGGGGGTATGGGGGTATCTTTTCATACTGTAAACAAGGCCTCCATGGCCAGATGTGGTGGCTCACGCCTGTAATCCCAGAACTTTGGGAGGCCGAGGCAGGTGGATCACTTGAGTTCAGGAGTTCGACACCAGCCTGGCCAACATAGTGAAACCCCATCTCTACTAAAAATATAAAACAATTAGCCAAGAGTGGCAGTGCATGCCTGTAGTCTCAGCTACTCGGGAGGCTGAGGCATGAGAATTGTCTGAACCTGGGAAGCAGAGGCTGCAGTGAGCCGAGATTGTGCTACTGTACCCCAGCTTGGACAATGAAGTGAGACTCTGTCTCCAAAAAAAAAAAAAGCCCTTCGTCTTCATGTGACAGACTTGAGAGAGTAGGAAACACTGAGGTGTGGGGGCCAACCCAGTGACAGATCACTTGCCCTCAGGTGAGGGTGCTGAGGAGGGAGTGGGCTGCCATGACCTGGCACCTCGGGATTAGAGGCAGTGGGTAGTGTGACATTTCCATACTGATATGGCCTGACAGCCTTCACCAGTGCCCTGTGTAGGAGGAGTGGGAGAACCCGATCCTACTCCCAGTCTCCGTCTTCCCAAAGCAGCAGACACTTCGGAGAGCCACCTGCAGATGGCCCCCCCACCGCCCCACCCGTGCAGTTGTAGGTGCAGCCACTCGACTGAGTGAGCACAAACCCACTCCTGGGTTTCCCTTTGCAGCCGCAGATGCTGGACTCCCCTGCGGGCCGGGCACAACCCCGTGTGCTTTCTAACAAACCCTACAGCAACGCATGAAACAAGTGCGAGCTTTGTTTTCAGCTGAGTCAAGTTAGGCCCAAAGACATGAACTGATGTGGCCATGGTCGTGAGACTGAAGAGGGCACGGTCACCGCTGAGACTGGACAGGGGGGCTGAGGGGAATAGGCAGGTTTCCCTCTGGCCTGAGGCAGCAGCGGTGCCCGTTTTCAGCTGAAGAGGGCGATGCACATGGGATGATCAGTTCTTTTGTTGTTCTGAGCTGGGCATCTGATGTCTCTAATTCAGCATTTTATAGACAGCAGTTTCAGAATGCACGTCTGGAATATTATGAGACAAAAGGAGTTTTCTTCATTGTATTAGCCCTGGGACCAGTTTTTAGGGATAAATTAAACACCACAGTATAGCTCTTGTGACTGTGTACACCTGGCCCAAAGATGGACTGATCCTGTCCCGAACGTTGTTTAGAGAAAGATGGACACAGCGTGCCTTACTGTCGGCACCTGGCGGTTGATGGAGCCGGAACCATGGACTCCACTTCTGCTCACCCCTCCATTCACAGCCTCCTTACTCTCCCCAGGCTGTGCTCTTCTACACCAACGCCCTGGCAGAGAACGATGCAAGGCTCCAGCAGGCCGCGTGCCTGGCGCTCAGACAGCTCAAGGTGAGCCTGACGTTTCTCCATTAGTGGCTGACACAGAAGCCTGCTTGTGGTTAGGGTTAAGGTTAGTTAACTTTAAAATGATTTCACTGGGGCCGGGCCATGGTGGCTCACGCCTACAATCCCAGCACTTTGGGAGGCTGAGGTGGGCAGATCACCTGAGGTCAGGAGTTCGAGACCAGCCTGGCCAACATGGCAAAACCCATACACACAAAATTAGCTAGGTGTGGTGGCACATGCCTGTAGTCCCAGCTACTCGGGACTTGAACCCGGGAGGCGGAGGTTGCAGTGAGCTGAGATCGTGCCACTGCGCTCCAGCCTGGGCGACAAAGCAAGACCCCATCTCAAAAAAAAAAAAAAAAAAAGTATAAAATACAGAGATAGAAAAGAAAGTTATCCATCATCCTAGAATGTAGCAGAAGCAACGGCTGACATTTTGGTGTGCTTCTTTTAAAAGTTTGTGGGTATGCGTGAGCATTTAAAATTGTTGATCCAAACATAGTTTAAAAACAGTCAACAAAACAAGAACATTTTGTGTTAGACTGGCAGCACTTTAGAATTCTTTGTGGGTTTTTTTTGGTCTTTTTTTTTCACTTTAGAATTCTGTATGAAGGGGCTATCAAGTATACACCTTAATTTAACCTACTCACCTGCTGTCATAGGAAATAGTTTTCTTCATCCAATTTTTTCATAAAGCATGTCATTGTGATCATGTTTGTGCATAAAGCTTTAAAAACATAGAGTTCTGAATTATTTCCTTAGGCTAGACCCAATTCTAGGGCCAGAGAATATGAGCATTTTTGAGACTCTTGATACAACCCACACATAGATCCCATGGATGTGAGGGGATGCCCGCTTTCCCTCAGCCTCACCTGCATTTGGAATTCCACAGCTGCTAGATGAAAGATAGTTCAATACAGATTGAACTCACTCATCCCATTCTTTCTGGGATGAATCAACAGGAAATTCTAAGAGGAGAAGCTGGTTAGGATCAGAAAACCAGCAAGGGCCAGGTGTCCAGTAGAGGGCGCTGCAGCGCATGCCGGTCCTTGGCCTGCAGGAGCAACCCGCGCCGGGGGCATGTGCCAGAGTCGGGCGTACTGGCACAGGCTGCCCTGGAGAGTAGGGTAAAGAGAGCATGGGGGAGGCAGGAAGGTCCAGAAAAGCAGCAGGTCTCCTCCTTTTCAATTCTAGCCTTTCAGCAGGCATCCAGGAAGACGAGTTCTGCCAACAGCCTGACTCCCTAGCAGGTGTCAGGGCTGAAGAGGCGAGACACTTCCACAGTCCAGAGGTGCCTCTCATGCACCTGAGGCCACCTAAAAAACCTGGAAGCCTGGAGAAAAAGAAGGGGCGGAGGCCCCAGAGACCACGCTAGGGCTGGCCCCGCAGGGCCGCTAAGTGGACTCTACCTGCTGTTGAGAAGGCCCCCAAAGGATTCTTTTTCTCCTAATCTCGAACAGGGCATTGAAAGCATCGACCAGATTGCCAGCCTGTGCCAGTCTGACCTGGAGGCCGTGCGGGCAGCAGCCCGGGAAACCACACTCTCGTTCGGTAAAGTGGCACAATCTGTGCAGCGCAGCGGAGTTCCTGGGGCCCTCAGAACCTGTGAGAGGCCACACCCAGCTCTCCCAGCAGGCAGAATAGCTCTGGGGTACCCGGGATGGGCACCGTTAGCAGCCCTGGCACAGAGCCAACCTTCACCCTTTGTGGCATCCTGCCAGGGAGTGTTCGCTACCTTCTTAGACTTTATGACCTTTGGGATAGAAGCCAGAGGCAAGGCAGGGTTCCGATTCAGCAGGACATCGTAGAATTAAAGGCAAGGCCCCCCAGGCCATGTGAGTCACCAGGTGGGGGCTCCCGCACATACTCCCTCCCCTGCCGCTTTGCAGAGACCACCGAGACCCACAGTCACTAAGCATTAGGGCCACCTTGGCCCAGGAGAGTCGGAAGTGCCAAGGCAGGATCCAATCTGGTGACAGGTCCCTTTGCTATTTCAGGTGAAAAAGGACGGTTAGCTTTTGAGAAGATGGACAAGCTCTGCTCAGAACAAAGAGAAGTCTTTTGCCAGGAGGCAGATGTTGAAATCACAATATTTTAAAAAATCCTGGTGGTTGAGCACAAATCTCACATCGGTTTTTTGCCGCTGCCCGGCTTGGACGTAGCCTGCGCGCTGGGTAATGGTGCTGTGCACTCCTCCAGGAGTGTGAGCTGTCCAGAGCGCTGCCTGAGGCTCCGGCCACTGACCCAGCCCCAGGGCATGGGCTGGTCTTTTGTACAGAAGCAGAAAAAAGCAAGGCAGGGGCTGCCAGGCCTCAGTGGAGTGCTCGACTTCTGGCTGCGGGTCTGTGTGACCTTCCCAGAGATGCAGAGCTGAGCTGCACTAGGTGGCCACCTACAAAAGGGCCAAGGCCAGGCAAGTCGAGGCCCTAAATAAAAGGCTCCAAGACAAGTGTGTAGAACTCCAGGCCTCCCTGCCGGTCAGCTGCTTGGCACTTCTGGGTCAACAGGCGCTGGGATGCAGCAGGCTGGCAGGTGGCTGGCCCTGTTAATGCAAGACTGCTCAGGTCATTTCAGCAGCAGCCAGGTGTCACCTTGGTGAGCTGGGGAAGGCGGGAAGGCACAAAGCCAGGGTTTCTACATGCACACTCTCAGCCTGACCTGCAGCCAGAGTGCCGGTGGAACTCCCAGACAGCGGCTGGTGGACTGAGAACCTCATTTTCCCCCTGTTCAGCAGCACAAACGGAAGAAGCCACCACATCAGCCCAGGAGCCCTGAGTAGCACAGGCAGCAGGGCCACTCACTTTGGCCATCCGCACCCAAATGCCATCAAGCCAGCTTCGGAAGCTACCCTAGGGTCTCGTCAATAAACCGCTGCAGAAGCCATCAACTGGCCTGAAGAAAGAGTTCACTGAAGAACACACTGTTTTAAAGCTACAGAAGCCATCAACTGGCCTGAAGAAAGAGTTCACTGAAGAACACACTGTTTTAAAGAAAGAAAATTAGTTTCCTATTTAAGTCTTAAAAAAAGCAAACCATGTCCTGAGATGTCTGTGTTAATAGTGCAGACAGAACCTAGGGTTTGAGGTTGCTGTAGCAATGGCATTGGAGAACTTTAACTTGAACATTCTCATCGATACTTCCTGTACATATTTTGTGCTTTTTGGTTTAACTTAGTATTTATTTGCCTTGTTCATACGTTCCATTTTCTGAAATTTCAATTAAACTATTTTAATTGGTGTTTCACTTTTTACCCAAAAGAGTAGACAGCGGTTGTTTCCCCAAACACCTGCCAGTGGGGAGGTCACTCCTGTGGTCTTGTGGTGCGCTGTGGGGACACTTAAAGGAGGGCGGCCTCAGGCAGCGGCTCTGGTAAACGCTGTCTCCAGGCTTCTCTGCATGCTCTCCCCTATATGGGCACTCTGTGGCACGGCCTTTGCCCTTTTGCCCCATCTGATTTCTGGCAAACCCCCTCCTCTTTTTTTAAGCATCAGCAGTACCCACTTAGAGCAGGGGTCCTCAACCCCCAGGCCACGGACCGGTACCGGTCTGAGGCCTGTTAGGAACTGGGCTGCATGGCAGGAGGTGAGTGGCCGGCGAGCAAGCATTACTGCCTGAGCTCCACCTCCTGTTAGATCAGCTGCAGCATCAGGTTCTCACAGGAGCGCGAACCCTATTGTGAACTGCATGTGTTATTGTGAACTGCCTGTGCGAGAGATCAGCTTGCAAGCTCCTTATGATAATCTGATGCCTGATGATCTGAGGTGGAAGTTTCTATCCCAAAACCATCCCTCACCACCCCCAGGCCTGTGGAAAAATTGTCTTCCATGGAACCGGTCCCTGGTGCCCAAAAGGTTGGGGACCATTGCCCTAGAGCGTTCTCTTCTTGAAAGCTTAGAGGCCCTTTTTTGTACCTGAAACAGTGGGAGCAACACTGACATCTGCAGCCCTAGGCCCCTGCGGGTCCACATGGCCACAGCCTGTCCTTTTCCCAGTCTCAGGAGCCTGGGCCTGCAGCCAGCTTTGAAACAGTCGAAGAACCTTGGAGGGTACCGGGGAACTCTTTGTACTATTTTGGCAACATTCTGCAAGTCCAAAATTACTTCAAAACGAAAAGTCAAAAAAATCACTTTGGGGGGAATTTTTACATTGTTTAATTTTGTACACAAATGAAAAACTGTACTAATTTTTTATCTTATTTTTAAGTCAACTCTATATCAAATGGACTTTACGTACTGAGATGCGGTAACCATTGTGTCTTACAGGTAATTGGGTAAGGGACGTGGTTTTGAGATTACAACTCAAAACACTGTTCTTCAAACAACACTGATAAGTTTAAGTTATCCAAGGGCCCTCTACATGGAAAGCGTGGGTTTGGGAAGGAAGTGGGCTGAGGCCTAAGGTGTTCAATAAGCTCACCCTCAAGGAAAGCGCTCCAGCCTGAGGGCGCTGGCAACGCGGGGATGCTGAGGTTAATTCTTAGAAGTGGAAAACTCTAACCCCAGCTGATTGACAACATCTGTTTCACATCAGCAGCGATGGAAAGAAACAGGAGTTGCTCATCCTGGTTTAGCTCAATTAAGCAAAGAAAAAAAATGGGAAGCACCCCAAATTCACGTTCTTTAGAAAAAAAAACTTTATTGTTGCAGCTAAAACGCAAACCCATCATGAATATGGCAAGTTGGAAAACTGTACAGTCTGACAGTTCTGTGAGGTCACAGAAGACCCTGAGACACGCCCCCCCACCCACCCGGTCATGCAGCCACGTATCCACACACACCTGAAAAGGTATTATACCAAAACACCTTGCTTTTTTTGTTTGTTTTTATTTTTGTAAAAATGGTTTATTCCATGGCCATTGTAAAAAATAATGACCTGATGAGTAAATATTGGCTTAAGGCATATAGCAGAGCAGCTCGCTACCTCTCTAACATACGTGTAACAAGGTGGAGAGCCAGCTGCTCTCCGAGGATAGGAGGTTAAACCAGTACGTCCATTTTGAAATGCTACTATATATACACACCCAAACTACTACATACATATACAGGACTTAAAAACAACAAGCCCAGCTCAGAATGCTTACAGCCTGGCACCTAAGCCTTATCCACACCTCACCACAGCTCTATGGGGTGATGCCTCGAATGTTCCCACGACAGAATTTCTCTGTACTGGCTTCTACCACGAGAAAGGCAAAATGTGAAAATGCTGGCAAGAGAGTAGCTCGGGAGCTACAGCTGCCGTGTTTTTCTTGTTAAAAAGCCACTTAATGTGGAGGTCTTCAGTTCCCTTTGCAGGAAGAGTCGTGAGCACCATCAGGCCCCACAGGGTTCGAGGGTGGGGCAGACGCGCCTCTCTCGGCAAGGTGAACCCGGACGGAGACGGCGGCAGGCTGCCTAAAGGACCGTCACCCAGGCTGTTTCAAGAAGTGTGGTTTCCAGCAGTTGCCTCTCTTCCAAATCACAGTCTGCTCAAGAAGAGTGCTGACTTGGAATGGCGGAGGCTGATCCCAAAGGTGGGGGGCGGGGGGTGTCCCTGCTTGCCTAAATCATGTCCAGAGCGTGAGGTGTGAATATGGCTTCCCATACCCTTGGAATGTCTGAGTTACAGCGAGACCCTGCTGCACCAGGACAGGCCGGGTCTCACCAGGAAGTCACTAGAGTGTCAGGCCAGGAATGAGGCAAATGCCTATTCCTGGAAAACTGCACCCTATTGCTGAGTGACAACGACTTCAGCAACAGGCTTAGGAACCACAGCCATGTAATGATCAGGTCATGCACAGGCAGGTTGGACTTGGACATGGGGCACATTAGTAAGCAGAGATCAAAGTTTCTCATTTCAAGCACATATTTTTCATCAGGACACAAGAAGACCTTACATGCATTCTAGTACACACGGGGGAGCAGTGATTGAGAACTAGATCTAGCAGATAACAGGGAGGAGAATAAGCGGGACAAAGTAATCTCACATCATGTTTCTTATTAAATACCCACGTGTTCATTATATATTATAGCATTGTTCTATCTTCTCACGTTACCCACAATATCACTAAATAACGACTGCCTTACAACCGTCCTCCTTCCCAGTACTGGTCTGACGCAGCAGGCCCATGGCAAAGTCTTCCATTCCCAGTACTACCTGAGGATTTATTATTGTACTTTTTGATAAAGCCCTTGATGCAAGGCTGACATCAAAAATTTTTAATACATTATTGGTTCAAGAAAATGCTAGTGCACTATGGACACCTTTGGGGAAGAATTGTTTAAATAAATATGGAGTGGAGAGTTGCTCCCTGCGAGTCAAGGGGGCTGTTGGTGTACCACCTGCCTGGGATGCTCCAGGAGGGAGCCCTGGGTGGGGCGAGCCTCCAGACAGGTGCAGGCCCCTTCCCTCTGCGCCGCCAGCGTGGTACTCTTTCACTCTCCTCAAAAAATGGCTTGTGGATTTGGTACTCAAAGTGGAAGGGGCAAAAAGTAAAAGGATGAGGGGTGAGACACACATCCGGGGAAGATGGGTTTTAGTGCAGAACCAACGTCCGTCCGGGGCCCGGCTCTCTACGCGGTCCGGCGGCCCTTACCTACCGCGGCATGCCTGCTAGTCGGGCGTGGGCTCTGCGGGCAGAGGCGGACAGTGGGTGGAGGTGGAGTGGAGGAGGGTCAGGCTATGTGTTGCTGTTGAACAGGAACTGGAATGAAACCAAACAGTTCAGATGAGCCCAGACCCGCACCCGCAGAGCTGTCGCCTCATGCACGACCCCGGCCACACCCCCCGGCAACTTCAACCTCCGAGGGAGCAAAGGGGGTTTTGGTTTTATTTTTTACAGTAGCCCCTTCTCCCCAAAAATCACCCCCAAGGAAAAAATTGTTTGCATTTTGCAAAACCATCTGATGTACTCAGATGGCCACCTGAAAAGAGGTAAAATATTTAAAACGATGAAAAAGTCTCAGGAGGTCATTTCCATGGCCAGAGCTCTGAGGCTAGTCCTCTCTTCCCCTTACTTAACAGCAACACACGTCTAACGTGTGGATTTCTGCTGAAATGGCACTTCTCCCAATGAGGTGGAGCCCACTCCTCTGAATTAACAGAGGGCTGACATGCTGAGGGCCACCCTGTGGTGACCTCTGACCCCCAGGGAGAGGCCTCGAGGACACTCTTTTATGGGAATGGGGTGATGAGGGCTGGTACATGAGCAAGATGGCTGTCACAGGAGGGAGCAATGGAGAAAGGACAATGGACACCCTGAGCAGAAGCAGAGGCAGGTTCTGTTTCTCTAGACGGCCTTGTGTTGCTGTTCTTACAGTGGGAAAGCTCAAAGACCCTGTCCTGGCTCAGTGTGCACACAGCTGAGGGGGGCTTGAGCGCAAGAGCGTCCTAACCCTCTTCTCCAAGGGAGTTTACATTCGTAAAAGTTTGGGATTCCTTCCCTGGGAAATCAAATATAAATTATATAGCTAATTACATCACCTAAGGGTACGAGAAAGTTTCGTTAAGTGCCTAGTTTGTTTTTTTTCCAGAAATAACAAAAAGCTGCTTTTTATAAAGGTTAAAAACAACAATGTGTTGTAATTCTATTTTTTTCCAAAAACAAAGGAATAAAAAAAAGAGAGAGAGAGAGAGAGAGAGAGAGACGTATTTGGCATTTTCTCTACTTACTCCTGAATAGGTTAAGGCCCTGAGATTAGACTCTTATATTCTTGGGACCAGAGGGCTCCTTAAAACCCCAGTGCATCGATCCTTAATTCTCGTTAGCCCTTCCACAGTTCCAGACTTTAAAAACCTTTGATCTGTTTCTTCTGAGACTGGCTCAGATGCGCCACAGAACTGAATCCTACCATCGGGCTAGCGGCCAGTGCTCTCTGCACACGAGCATCTCGCCAGCGCGTCTGTCAGTGGAAACATACCCTGTAGCAGAGGTACGCGCCGGCCGTGAGGACCGTAGCCACACACATGTTGACCAGGAAGGGCTTCCAGTGACTCAGTGCATGGTCCTCCTCCTTCTTAGGCGGTGACGGCTCCCCTTTGGCTAGGGAGGCAGCCTGGGCACCTCGAAGACTTCCCCCCACGACCCGACTTCTAACTTCAGTGTCTTGACTCATGCTGAGGAATCAGAGGGGCAGAGATGGTTTACTCACTTTGAAGAAAGTGAATGGCAAGGATGCTGCTATTGTGGCAGGAATTCTGGGAAAAAACAAGCCACGTGTAGACAGAGTAGGGTGATGTTAACCTTCCAGCGAGCCAGCCCCTCTTCTTGGCGGGAGGGCCAGGCCAGGGCCCACAACAGCCTGAAGTCCACTTGTCACCCCCTCCCCCAGGTACTTCAGACAGCACCCACACCCAGGGTAGGGTTCACAAGGTGCCTGGGCGATTGGGCACTGTGAGGATTTATCTGGCTGGAGGATCCACTGGTGTACACACTATTATATGACTTGCCTTCTCATGTACTGCAATTGCAATGTCTGGCCACATCAGTACACCCAGATCTCATTCTTTAAGAGCTATAGAATATCCCAACACCGGGAGAGAACGTAATTGATCAGGTCCCTGGTTATATCATTGGCTTGTCTCTAATTTTTCACTACTACAAGCAATGCGACAACAAACACAACTACCTATACACATCTTTACATGCTTATTTTGAGAGTCGCTGCAGGGTAAATTTCTCCATGTATACAACTGCTGGATCAAGTATGCACACGTCTTAAAACTTCCCTCCGGAAAGCAGGTACCAAGGGCACCGCCGGCAGTCATCTCCAGCTGGAACTAACACCTGCTCGTTCTGCAAGCTTTCTGTGCACGGCCACCTACTGCAAGCAGCCTTTCCTGACCACCTCAGTGGACACCTCTATCACATCACTGTCCATGGGCTCCCACCAAAATATGCTTTGGGTCTGCCTTTTTCCCAACAAGATGATCTAGAACACAGACCAGGGGACATGTTCTAGTTAACTCAGTACACCACACATATCAATAGGTACTCAATAATGGTTGTTAACCTGCAAGGAAGTAAAATGGGATTTAATCAAGACAACATAAAAAAGGTTACAGTCCCCAAAGGACCACTGTGGGGACTGAGGGCACATGGTCAAGCCTGGACATCACATTTCAGGACTGTCCGGAAGCCTGGGGGAGGGCGCTATCATCAGGGGGCAGAAAAATGCTACTCGGTGGCACCGAGCCCCTCATTCCAACAAGCACCACAAGGTGGCACTAGAAGCCCACAGAAGTGGCTCATGTCCTGCGGCCACCCTGTGCCCAATACCGGGCCTCCCGCAGTCAGGAGTGGAGTGGCTGTGGTCCACACGCCCTGTTCCCCAAGGATGCAGAAGCACTGCTTGCCAACAGGAGGCTGCGTCCACAGGGTTTCAGTACCAGTGTGTGTTTCTAGAACAGAAGGTCATCTCCCCTCAACCCAACAAGCCGGGACCCAATCATATTACCTTTCCATGCTGTAGGGTGCGGCATTTAAGGGGCTTCCTGTTTCTTCCTTGATGGGGCAGTCTTTATCCTCCTGGGTCTCATCCTTCACCCACTGGTGATTTGGGAAGAACTCCCTGCATTTCCCATTGTGTGGCTCCAGGATTCGTTTGGGTGGCCGGGGAGGTGGGGGGACGTGCTCGGGTGGGGGCTCCAGGTCCTCGTGGGAAAGCTCCTTCCACTGATCCTTGAAAGAGCAGCAAGAGGAAGTCCTATTAGTGTTCGCGTCGGCTGGCTTGTCAGGAAGTCCCCTTGCGTGAGCAGAGGTGGCGGCTTGGCGAGGGGCTCTCGGCCTCTCGGGGCTGCAGCCATGTACTTGGAAGATGAAATCTTTTGAAAATAAAGTCTCTTCTTCCTATCGATGCTCTCTGTGAGCACTTCAAAGGCACAAAGTGCAACATGGTGAACATTTTGACAACTTTCTAGCTATTTTAAACATGAAGGGTAGCTATTTCCCCTGACACCAGACGGTGTTTGAACTTTTACAACTGACAGCCTCCTTCAAAGACAAAAAAGTTAAAATGGTCACACCTGGATTCAAACAAAGGCAATGCTGACCTGCACAGAGGAGTCCCCCATGATGAATTTGGCACCTTCGATCACAGCCAAGTAGGAGAAGCGCAGCTGGTCTGCTGTCTGGATCAGCCCCATCCGAAACTTCCTCATTTCTAACAGCACTTTCTTGATATCAACGGAAGAAGGGTCTTTCCTCTTGTCCATCTGAAAGCCAGAGAGGAGACATAAGTCAGCCAGGTCCAGTTCTCAAGGGCAATGTGACTAACACAGGTAGATGTCTGTCCCCTCCCAATCTCATGCTGAAATGTGATCCCCAGTGTTGGAGGTGGGGCTGGGTGGGAGGTGTCTGGGTCAGGGGGGCAGGTCCCTCATGAAAGGCTTGGTGCCCTCCCTGAGGCAATGCATTCACAAGAGATCTGGTTGTTAAGAGTCGGGACCTGCCCATCTCTTGCTCCTGCTCCCCTTCGCCTTCCACCATGACCGGAAGCTCCCTGAGGTCTCCCCAGAAGCCGAACAGGTGCTGGCGCCATGCTTGTACAGCCTGCAGAACCGGGAGCCAGTTAAACCTCTTTTCTTTATAAATGACCGAGTCTCAGGTACGCCTTTATTAGTAACGCAAAAACAGACTAACACAGTGAGTCTCTGTATTTTGGAAGAGGAGTGCTTCAGTTTCTATTTAGGAAAAAACATCACAGCAGAGCAGGTGGAGGAGCTCCCCAGGGTGCCCGCAAGGGCCTCCTTACCAGCAAGAGGCAGGTATCAGCCAGACAGAAGGTCCCAGACCTGCCGATACCCGCACTGCAGTGCACCACGACGGGCCCATGCTCCGGGCTGAGTGACCCTGACTCTCGGACTTTGAAAAGAAAGTTCAAGAATGAGGCTGGCGATTCGGGGACTCCAAAGTCAGGCCATGTGGTATAGTGGAAATGTAAGATCTCTCGAGTTTCTTGGGTCTGAAAGAGAAAAATACTCACGATGATTCTAAGAGAATCATCTGTACAGAAATCACTAATTCCAAATACACACAGAATCACCTTCCACTCATTGACCTCTAAGAGGAACATTAATTCTCAGACTTTCTCTCCCAGCGTCCACACACCCAGTCAACAAATACCACGCCCTGGGGCCAGGGCCTAGGCTTGACACTGAACCTGCAGGGTGCACCTGCTTAGACTTCACGTCCCTTCCGACTGACGAGTC